GAGAGTGGAGCTCTGGGACTTCTACGTCCTGCTTTCATATTAAAGCTGTTAGTCTAAAGGTCTTTGTAGCAAACAGTCTGCTTCTGCTGCTGGTGATATAAAAAAGTAGCAGTCTCGTGTGTAGACAGAATCATCCTCAAAATACCAGTATTTCATTTTTTGATTGCACTTACACAGACATCAGGGATCAAAATAATAAATTTTGGTCCAGCAACATTTTGCCTTCAAACATGACTGCTCCCAAATTAAATTAATTCAATTTTAGACAAATCAATTCATGCTTAGCATAAGGAGGGCTCTTGAGTTCAGATTCTCAAAAATCAGCTGGAAAGGATAAAGGTTGAGCAATTATTTTTACGATTGGCTGCCCATTCAATTTCTCTTTCTCTAATGGGATTGCTCAGTGAGTATCCTACCAAAAGCGAGGAAATTGGTTAACCTAATTCCACTCTTCAAAAAAGATGAAAACCCATAACATGGTATTTAGCTGCTTGCTTTTTTTACAGGTTCTGCCTAAGTTCTTGTACTGTCTTTTAATCTGCTTAACTTACTTGAGGTAGTTTTGACAGAGGGAGCTCCGCTCTGACTTTCCATTGAGCCATGCTTCAGCAAAACACCTACATGCGGTCTTCAGCCCCGTTGCCTTTCATGAGTAAGCATGCAGCTAAAGATAAGCTGTTGCTTCAACCTCTCCTTGCCCTTGACATTAAGGGGGACATTTATTAACTTGTTGCGTATAGTTATTGCTTCATTGGTATGCAGTGAATGACAAGGATTTATAACACCTAGGGATCTGGATAAACATAATTCATAGGGAAAAGCATGGTGTTTCTAGCCAGAAACAAAAACCTGCCAAGGATCTTTGGCAATCTATAAAATCACATTTAGCTATAACAACCGGGTTAAAAAAAAAAACAAGTAGGAAAGTTCAGAATATCAGAAACTGTCTTCCCACATGCATTCCTCAGTGGATGTGATTTGCTGTTGGCAATTTGTAATCCCGCAGCATCAGTCTCTCTACATGTTTGGCTACGTGGCAAAATACAGCAGGGAAATGAAAAATCACCTCCCCAGGCACACGTTCCCTGTGGAATATTGTACAAGTGCAAAAATACCCGTGCTGGCACAAGCGGCTGCAGAGGGGGGTTAAAGATGGGGTAAATCCTGCTCGAGCAGCCTGAAGCTATTCTGCTCATTAATGTGAAATGATAGCTTCAGACTTGAGAAGTGCTACAGGCGTACCAATAAAGCCCTCGGCTGAGGCTAATATACCCTTCCAGCTTGGGTATACAGGTGCAAATCATAGCCCAGGGACAGTGTCGTGGTTTAACCCGGCAGCAGCTAAACACCACCCAGCCACGCGCTCACTCCCCGCCAGTGGGATGGGGGAGAGAATCGGAAAGAAAAGGTAAAACTTGTGGGTTGAGATAAAGAGAATTTAATAGGACAGAAAAGAAAGGGAAAGTAATACTAATGATAAAAGAATATTCAAGCCAAGTGATGCACAGTGCAATCGCTCACCACCCGCTGACCGGTGCCCAGCCTGTTCCTGAGCCAGCGGCTGTGCCCCCCTGGCCATCTCCCCCCAGTTTTTTGTTCAGCATAACATCACGTGGTCTGGAATACCCCTGTGGCCAGCTGGGGTCTGCTGTCCCCTCCCAGCTTCTTGTGCCCCTCCAGCCTCCTCGCTGGCAGGGCAGGATGAGAAGCTGGAAAGTCCTTGACTTAGTGTAAGCCCAGCTCAGCTACAGCTGAACCCCCAGTGTGGTATCAACACTATTCTTATCCTAAACCCAAAACACCGCGCTATGCCCGCTGCTAGGAGGAAAATTAACTCTATCCCAGCCAAAACCAGGGCAGACAGGAAGACTCGTAGTCAGGCAGACAACAGAAAACATAAAGACCTCTAAGAACTAATTTTAAATGTATTCAAGTTTACCTAATATACAATCTCAGTGTATAAGAAGTTGATCCGATGTGAAATTTTACTGGAGTTTGAGTTACAAAATTGCATGGAATATTTATGACATTTTAATGACATTCTACAAGGCTGAATATTGGCTACATAATGTCTGATCCTCCTGTGGTGCCTCTGCTCATGTGAAGCTGCTTTGGGAATGAACTTCATGCTGGGGAATTTCTTTGACTGGGTATCTTTAAGTAAATAAACAACCAAGGAGATAATGACCTGGAAAAAATCTGAGATATTAAAGGAGTTTATTAGGCATACGAAGCTCTGTCACTGTTCAGTAGTACCGCATCTTTCAAACGATCAGAGAAGATGGAAATGACTGCGACATATGTCAGGGGTACAAGAGAAGAGCTTGCTGCAGCAAACTTGCTATAGGGCACGTAGGGCAATAAAAAGAGGGTGTCTGAACAAAAACCTTCTCCCAAACATAAGCCTGAGAGGAGAAAATAGTGGGAATGAATGAGTGCTTGAAGTAGGGGGGGAAACCAGTGGAACAGCTCTGAGATGAGGCTGGGTCTGCAGCGCAGCGGCTGGAAGCAGAAGCAGCGTTCCTCTCAGGAGCAACCTGGCTCAGCTGCAGCCCCGCTCCCCACCTGGGACCTGCTGATTGTGGAAACCTAGCACCGCTCCCCAATTCCAACACACAGTAATCTTATTTTAGTTCATTTATTAGTAGGAAGCACACTGTGGGGCAGATTTATAAAGATACAGGAGCGCTTAACTCCTGTTGTTAACAGAATGCCTTTGAAAACCAGCCGTTGTGTTCTAACCATTTAATTTCTCTTGATTATTAAGATAAGTTACTCACTACTTAAAATAACCAGTCAAGTCATGAAAAGGAAAATTATTTCCTTACTGAATTTTAATTCCTACTTAATAACAGGCTCTCACTGGCTTTTGAATGTAGGATCAGTGGAAAGTTCAGTGCTTTTAAAGATATATCTCCCTAACAAAAAGAGGAACAAAGCATGTCCTATAAGAATGGTAACAAATAAGGCTTAATCTTGAAATCTGAGTCCTGGCTCTGTCTTCACCACATCACACCTCCTTCACAGGCCTAAATTCTGCTGTGACTGGAGGAGGTGCATCCCTTGTCCATCAGGCAAGAGGCGATGAGAGAGGATGCTCTTAATCCGTGAAGAAGGGGGAAACAGAGGTACCTTTGTCATACCAGGGAGGTCTGCAGGGCTTGGGCTGCAAGAAATTGTGTATTCTTTGCCTGCAAGAAAATACAAGAAAGAGCAGGTACTAGAACTGCTGTTTCCTTAATTACCAGCCACGTTCAGTTGGACTAAATCCCCTAAAAATAGAATTGATTTTTTTTAAATGATCACAATAGCTTTATTGAACCTAGGGCAAGTATAAGCAAAGGTTATTTAAAAGCTGACCAATCTTTTAAATTGTTCGTTGTTCTTCAGTTATTTTGTGATGTGGGAGGAAAAACACTTGAAGTTTTTTCTTAAAGTGGCTAAATCCATATTTGTCTTTAGCTTGGTTTTCCCATTGCTTTTGAGGGAGGTAGTGAGCCAGTTTCAACTGTGTCAGCATTTGGCTATGAGTGAATTGTAGGAAATTATTTTAATTGATTTTTATGTTTTGAATAATATGTTAACAGGCGATCATTGAATTTTGCTTATGTATATACAAACAAACAAACAAAACTCATGGGAATGTGTAATGTTAAATCAGATGTTTTACATTTAGGCTCAAATCTAACTAATAACTTCTAAATCCGCTTTGTATGCACATGCAAATTTCCATCAAAAGCAGTGCCAGGGACTGCAGGGCTGGCCTACCAGAATATTTTAGGACACTTTCCTTTCAAATCTGAGTTCTTAGACCCGATTTTCATTTGAAAGCAGAGTCCATACAAGTCAGTGGAATTACAGTTACAAAATTGATCTCACCCCTGAGATCTTATGCAAGCAAAGGGCAGGAGGAAAGCCTGGAGTCCAGGCATTTTTTATGTGCCCTTGCTCTGAAAAGAACGGGGAATCTGCTCGGTCTCTGGCATGTCTTGATCTGATTTGGAGGTGCAGCAATTTAGTTCTTTACCCCAGAAGTCCTGTGGGTCTCAGGCGATGGAGGAGACGCACAGCACAGTGGAGCTTGGCCGTAGCCTCTGTCACCACGAACAGTCTGTTCCAGTTCTCTGCAGGCAAAAGAGGAGTCTCTGTGCTGACACTTCAGCAAATTAATCTCCCCTTCTTTATGGCCCTTTGGCTGCCAGAGTACTATTAAGAGACATTAGCGTAAGGAGAGTTCAGTACTTTGAATTGCAGGCTTCGCTTGTAATCTCTGCTCGTATCACGTACGATGTAAATACTACAGGAAAATTCATGGAAAGATGAAGTCTCTTCAGGAAAGGAACATTTAAAAGCTATTAATTGAAAGAATCACCAGGGAGGAAGGAAGAGAGGAGATTAGCATCACTGGAAATGAAAGATATAAAAGATAGCCCGTTTCCATCACTGCAGTTCAGCAGCATGCAGGAGGTGAAAGTAGATGCTGTGTATTATTTTTCTGTGTAGGTTTTTGTAATACACTGTAACTCTGCAAAACAGTTTTGTGCCTTCCCTTTTTTTTTCCTGTTTTACCTCCTATATATAACTTCTCTGTGCATTTAATGATTAGGATATTAAAAAACCCATTTGACAGTTAGAGACAGGTATTATGAAATACTCCTTGACAGTATTGGGGGGTTTCTGTTAAACAGTCTCTACTGGCTGTCTGTTAAACAGGGAATACCAGTCATATCGTAGTAAGTAAGTCATAAATTTATTATTGAAGCATAACATAGCGCTCAGAAGCCTTGGCTCTCTTTCCTGCTTTGCCACTCTAGCTTTATAATCCTAGGCAAGTTGCTCCAAATTTCTACATATCTACATTTCTATTTTATCCATCTTTGGTTTTGTCTGCTTAAATTATTTCTCAGGGTAACAGCTTTCCTTCTGGCTTTCTGTGTATTTTGCTTTGCACTCTAAAACCCTGATCTAAAGTTGGGATCTAGGCATGGTGTAGTTCAGCAATGGTGATAGATAACAGCCACAATAAGTCAGGATTCAAAAAGGCAGTTCCTCTGACACTTGGCATTTACAGTAATGCCAATTTGCAGAAGGGTTTAAAGGCAGTGGTCTGCATCGTGCCGCTGCCATTTGACAGCTCTGCACCTCCTCCATCTCTGCGCCTTCTCCAGCTGCCAGCAGCATGCGTGGCTAGTGTTTGGATTGAGATTTCCAAGAGAACTTGGGTAAGTTTTACAAGAGCCTTCTACATGAGCCTTCATATCCAGAATATTCAGCTTTTGGTAGCGATTGTGTCATCGATGGTGAGGACAGAGTTTGAGTGGTTTACAAGCATGATATCTGACGTGACTAAAATATTTTGTCAGTGGCCTCTGCAAGGATTTCTTTAAGCACCGCTGTCATACAGTTGGCTGTAACGTGAAAAAGGCAAGGCAGCAGGAGGCAAAAATGCCCCATTCCTGACTACATTGAAGCTTTTACTGACCCGCAGCTCTGGGGCCGAAGTCAATTGCAGCTTTGGGGTTCACTAATACAGATACACCTTGAGTCAATGCAGGAGGAATTTTTCTTTCTCAGACTAGATCTGGACAGTTTGTCATCACCAAAGACACCAAGAAACTTTCTGTAAGGATACAGGTAGAGGGTGCTGGTATCTTAGTGAAGTTAGTATGCCTGGTATACACCAGTTTATTTTAAAGTCAATAAGGATTCCATGAAATTTCCTGCAAGGAGAGACAAAGCTGATCCCTTGTGCAATGGGATTGTTTCATAAATTCTCTTGGCAGCTTCACTGGGATCAACTGTTCCTTTATCTGCGATGCAGTGGTGTGTGCTGCCAGGTCTCCCCCACCGCTGGATCTGTTGCTCCGATAAGGGCAGTAACTGCACTCATTTAGTTCAGCAGTGCCTGTGGGTCCTGCCAGGGCTCCAGGTCCCGTACAGCTTCAGGCTGCAGAAATCTGTAATGAGCAGCTGTCATCCTGGGAATGGGTGGATTCTGAGGGAAACTGGAAATCTCACAGCAGCAGCATCATCAAGCCTAACCTTCTGAACTGGGACTCCAGAACCAAGGGACTCCAGAGAAACGCTGAAATGCGCCCAGTGCCCAGGCTATCTGTAATGCGAAGGTCGCCTGGAGTCACACCAGAGCCATCCGGGAAGCCAGGGCTTTGCAAGAAACCATCCAGAAAAATTTTTGGGAAGGACAGCAGCTTCCAGCAGTCTCTATTGATACAATCTCTGTTACGATAAACAGGTATTTTTCAACAAAAGTTATTAAAACTTTTTTATCATCTCTGCCTCTAATGCTGAGCTGAGCCTGATTTTTCAGTGCAGAAGACGGGCATCAGTTAGGGCTATTCACGTGTTTTCCATAGAGAGCCTAAAATCCATTCCTTATGTGCTATGTTATTCACTCATTTGTTCTTGAGAAAATCGGGCCAAATCAACCCGATAAATTTTAATTTTCAAATTTTAAAAATTATGTTTTTACTCCCTTTTCCACTGGGAGTTTGGTATCTTTCTACAGGCTGCATTTACACTTCGGCTGTAAGGCAGCTGCCAGACAGAACCACAGCAGTGAGAGATGGTAAGAGCCTACTGAGCCATCCAGTTCAGGCCCTCTGCTAGGTTATATCGGAAAAGTAAAAGAAACAGGCCTTTTGCATAAGGATCCTTCTAGTTCGAATGATGACAAATTTGCAGAATTGGTGGCATAGGATTCTGAATTTTGTTAAATAGTTTCATCATATAGGGAGCAATACCACTTTTGCTAATGATGGAAAATGAGGTTGGCTGGGTAGCTTGGCATGATTTATGATGGAGTGCAGCACACTAAAAACTTCTTTACCCTTTAATTCCACCAAGACTTATGATCTTTACAACCAGAATTTTCAAAAATTAATGAATGTAGCAGTTGAATAAGTGTGAAAAGGAAGCAGAAATTATTTCCTAATGACTTACTTACAATGTTTATTTTAATTTTCACAAGGGACCTTGCTTTTCAAAATTAAGACTCCTCATGGAGAAACCGGCTCTGAAGTGGGACTGGTTAAAAGATAAATTATTTATTACATTCCTTACTTTGCAGAAGGAATACAATTTGAACTTCATCTAAATGTGGGGTTTTTTCCCTTCACCCCAGCCAAATGTAGCTACACTGCAGCGTTCAGGTGTTGCCAGTGAACCTGACTCAGATTTCTTCATCATTGTCGTAGGCAATGGCAATGCCACGGGCCAGACAGTGCCACTTCTCATACCTTTGGGACTTCTTTATTGCCAATGCAAAACAAATGGCTTAAATTCAGGAAGCAGATCTGGTGGAAAAGCAAAAACTGGAACAGCAGGCAGCTCCCCGTCCTTCAGCTGCGACTCTTAGTAAAACTTAGGTTTTGGGACTAGCAGAAACAAGCTGTAACCTGGAAAACCAGCAGTAACGAATCTTTGGTGTGCAAAGTTAATGTTCTTAAATACTGAATTTTAAAGTAGAATGGCATTAATTTATTTTGGTGGCATTTGAATATGAGGGTACTCAGTGATATACCAAGCAAGCAGTGATGACCGTGTGAGAAGGCTCGTTTCCCCGGGGGCTGTATATTACTGAGTCTTTGGAACAGGCACAAGGGAGGATAAAATCGTTATGCAGAGTCATGCTCTCCTGAAAACATTGCCAAATGCATAGCTTTCAGAAGAGTTGCTCCCCTAAACTACTGTCTCCAAATATCCTTATTATCCTTAGCCTCCATATAAATGAAGAACAGAAACTAGGATATGTGCAGCCCTCTGGGCTGGGCAGTGTAATACGCTTTCACAAGAAGCCGAGTCGGAGAGAGACCAGATGAAATGACCAGGAAATACGGATCATGCCTTGCTTTTTCCATCAGGGATTTAAAGAGCCAGAGAGGAGTATGGTCCATTTTTATGGCCTGAATATTCCTCATTATAACAGAGTCCTACCTCGTTTTTCCTAAAATGGTGCTGAATTGGGCAAGCCTATGAGCTGTGAAGCGAAAAAATATATGAACGTTGTTTCAGGATGGAAAGGTAAATATCCCATTTCCAGTCAAATTCACGTTTGAGCACAGGAGGATCCCAAAGGTGTCACTAGAGGAGCGAACAGTAAGTTACCACATTTTTGCTGCTGTGGAATTTCACCCTTAAAAAAGGACAGTCAGAGTAAGGCCTATAATTTCTTTTTGGATGTACCTTCTCCAGCTCAGGTATATTGTCCTGGATGCCTTCCCTCTCCTTCAAGAGAGGAATAAACCATGGCTCTGAACTGTATCAGTGGGGCAGTGAGTTTTTGTGCTAATCCTGTCCATTATCCGCTTATCATTACCTCTGCAGGTTCCTATGCTCAAAGCAGAGCTGTATTTTTCCTACACCGGTGCACAGCTCCATGCCAGTTTTCTCCGTCTTGCTTTCAAGCTTTGTGGAAATTCTAACAGAAGCTGTGGAAAGTAAGCCTGGTTTGGCTATTAGCTACAACCAGCATTCGCCCTTCCTGTTTTAAATGAGCATGCTGCCCGGGGATCCCCCTCTAAGTACAACATTTTGCTCATTTTAGGTCTTGACTGTCTTTCTAGTAAATAGGTACCTTGAGAATTGCTCAGTGATAACTGCTATCATAGTTCATCATTCCTCAGGACTGGGGGGTTATGATAAATTTGTACAATGTTTATATAAACAATAGCTAGTGCAGTTATGCAAATTATTTCCTTTTGTATTGAAGAATAGATTATTAGCATGAACTTAAAATCTGTTAGTTTATGCTTTACACTTTGTATAATCATTTATGTTTATGAAATATGACTGTAAAAGGTTTCCAACCACATTACCTTTGCTCTAGGGAGCAGCTTACGAAACGATGGACAATAAAGCCCACTGGGTTAGATAACGGCCCTTTCCAGCTCCATTCTGCCCTTCTAGGGACTAAACTTACCAACGTACTGATGTGCCTGGGAATTTCTTCGTAGCAAGTGGGCCTTTGGCCTGGGAGAGTGGCAAAGTGGCAGCACATCATTGGCCTCCTTGTAGCTCCTGCCCTTGGAACACGATCAGGGGAATGCCTGTCAGACACAGCACATCCTTTCCTGCAAGAGTAACCCTTTGGGGCTGGGCCAGCCCATGATGTACCACAGCAAGCTCTATTAGATGGCTTCATGCCATGAAACCAGGCCAATCTCTAGCTGAAGGCAAAAGTCAGAGTGCAAAAGATTTATGGCCACTTTACTTTACCCTAAGCTGTACCTGAGTGCGGTTTGGAGTACAGAGTTGCTATAGGAACTGGTGAAAGCACCCAAGGTTCCCTTTTGTTCAAGTGTCATTTTCAGTCCCATAACAAATACACTAATTTACAGGGGAAAATGGTAACTGGGCTGATAGGCTGCTGCAGTTAATCCCTGTTGGGAGAATCCACCGAAATGGATTCAGAAAAGGCAGGGTCAAAAGGAAGAATATGAGTTTGAGGGGGAAGGGGACAGGTTTTTATTTAGTTTTTTCTTATACGTGTTTTCTCTTCTTCAGTGTTTGAAGGCAAGATAAGTTTAGTTAAACTGAATGGAAAAAATACACAGTGAAGAAAACATGATTTGGACAGGAAAAGAAAGGTTGTAGGGAACACCCTAACTGTGGGCAGTGGGAAGCCGCTTTGCTGTGCCCAGGTGCCCCGTGACAGCTCGGGCAATGTGGGCTGTCAGGTCAGAGACGTATGGACTGGGATTTTTAAACTAACTCATCTGCCTCACATTGGAGCGATAAGCAATGCTCATTTGATCCACTTTGCTACTTCGCTGTAGTAAAGTCCAATGGGAGGCGAAGCCCAGAGCTAGGAGTGGTAACTGCTTCAGAGACACTACCAAAACCACCCACCAGAGCCCTCTGCCACCATGGTCACCTGCCCTTATAGTGGCCATTCCCACCGCCGTAAATTCTGACCACTGTGGTAACACCTGCATCCAGGATTTAGGGAATGCACCGTTTCGGTCAGCATCAAACAGGCCCGCTCTGGATTCCATGTTTACCAAAGTGTCCACAGACCAAGGTGCTGCAGTGTCCGTCTGCTCCACCTTCTGCTGTCTGCACCGCAAATGGTACAGGCATACAGCTGTCCCCGACATACACGGGTGTTCTCGATGCATGGCAGTACAAACCCTGGTCTTCTGCCTGCCTGGGCGGGCTCCAAAGACACAGAGAGGAGTGAACCGATGAAGAAATATTTAACAGT